CGGAAAGGGGGGCACAGCTAAGGGAAAGGGGGGAGATTCAAAGATGAGTTATGAGTGGGAAGAGGAAAAGAGCCCCTACGGTGCTGACCATCTACTGCCTCAGCATGGTGGGGAAAGGATTTGGGAGCCCTTTTCTCAGGACCCACAATGTCTACTTGGTCCCAGCTTTCTCTCCATACTTTCTGGCCTGGGTGTGGGGTGGTGGGCCAGAGCAGGTGGTAAGCATTGCTCTGGCTCGTCATGTTGTCTGTTCTCTGAGACGCCAAGTGCTTGGGTTTAGAACGCCAAGAGACTTTATTTTGCTTCTGTTGGAATGTCTCTTCTGTGAGACAGTGGACACTGCAGGAGCCTCCTTCTGGAAAAAGGGAAGAATCTCAGGGGATAAGACCAGGAGGGAGAAGCATCAATTACTAGCTCAAAACAGAATCCCACATTTGTAAGAGCTCAGTTAAAGAAAAACGGGCTGTCGAGAGTAATCTTCTCAACCTGAGCTGTTTCCAGAAGCAGCAAGTGGGTGCTGCTATCTGAGCTAAGCACAGAATGATGAGAAAATGCATACTGGTGGATTTTCCTCAAATCTTTAGAGTAAACAGAATTTTTTTCTTGCTATAGCAAACTTAATTCTGTACCAAAATGGTCACAGAATACTGCAGCTCTGTGGCAACTCAGACATGATCCTAGATGAACATGCTCTGTCCTTCCAGATCCCTTCTTCCCGCTTCTGCACGCTGTTTTGGATCCTGGGAGGCTAGTGTCCATGGATCACATCAATCACTTATTTGGCCAGTGGGAAGTCCTGCTTTACCATCCCTTGATGGTTTCTTTAATCCTGTCTATACTTTGTAAATAATCCCCTTAATAAAAACTCCCATTTGAGTGTGTAATCTCTTTCATGCTGGGACCCTGAACTGATAAATCATCTAATCCTATATGACCATTTTACAGATGAGGAAACTGAGGCACAGAAAAGCCCACTGACTTTTCCAGTGGTGTCCCTTTCCTCCTCCTTTTCTCAGCCATGATTGAGTATTCACAAGTGAGACCTTGAATGCTGGACTGAGGATGAGATAACCTCTGAAACTAGAGTCTGCTCTGCTCTAATGTGATGACACATTTCTAAAAAACTTCCATTTATTTAAAAACTGTGCCCTTAAAAATGCTATTTTAAAAGACACAGACATAGAGAATGGATTTGAGGACATGGGGAGGGGGAAGGGTAAGCTGGGACGAAGTGAGAGAGTAGCATTGACATATATACACTATCAAATGTAAAATAGGTAGCTAGTGGGAAGCAGCTGCATGGCACAGGGAGATCAGCTCGGTGCTTTGTGACCACCTAGAGGGGTGGGATAAGGAGGGTGGGAGGGAGATGCAAGAGGGAGGGGATATGGGGCTATACATACATATGCATATAGCTGATTCACTTTGTTATACAGCAGAAACTAACACAACACTGTAAAGCAGTTATACTCCAATAAAGATGTTAAAAAAATGCTGTTTTATGTGGTATATGCATACAATGGAATATTATTCAGCCTTAAAAAAGAAGGTAATCCTGTCATATGCAACAACATGGATGAACCTTGAGGATGTTATGTGAAGTGAAATCAGCCAGTACTGCATGATTTCGCTTACATGAGTTATCAAAATAGTCGAACTCATAGAAGCAGAAAGCAGAGTGGTGGTTGCCAGGGGCTGGGGGAGAGGCAGAAAAGCGGAGTTGCTATTCGATGGGCATGAAGTTTCAGTTATGCAAGGTGAATAAGTTCTAGAGATCTGTGGTACAGCACTGTGCTGGTAATTAACAAGACTGTATTACACAGTTAAACATTCAAGAAGATAGATCTCATGTTCTGTTTTTTTCTTTAACCACAAAACAAGAAGCAAAAAAAGTATTTTAATAGGTCAAAAAGTAGTTAGAGAAAGGAGTCCCCCTGGGGGGACACTGTCCATGGGGGCATGGCTGGGCCAGCGGAGAGGCAGGAAATGCCTTCTTCCTCCAGGGTGGAAGCACCTGCTGCAGGACTGGGCTGGAGGAGCATGGACTGAACTTATCTCCACCCTCCTCTCAACTCATGCCTCCTGCACCCATCTCCCAACATGTGAGGAGCCTCTGACCATGAGTGAGTGATTGAGTGTGTGTGTGTGTGTGTGTGAGAGAGAGAGAGAGAGAGAGAGAGAGTGAGACAGAGAGAGAGATGGGTTGGGAAGGAGAGGGAGAGAATGAATTTGCATTCTTCCTTTTATTAACTTTCCCAAGTTCTCTTGAAGAATCTTTTTTGACCTCTCGTATTTCATTGATTCTAAGACACGTTTTATTTTTTTCACATTTTAATACTCTGATACCAGGATGGGTCATACACTCGAAAGCATCTTTCATTGCTGTTGGTCAGGCGATGGTTGTGTTGTAGCTTCATTGTCCATGCGTGTGTGAACTTGGTAGTTCTGGCTGCATGATAACACGAGTGAAACTGCTCATTGTTTCAGTCAGCAGTCCATTCCATGATCATCTGAGGAAGGAATGTGGTCCTAGGTGTTGACTGAACTCTTCTGCTGACATCTGTTAGCAAGATTTTCTTGCCAGCATCAACACTGTGGAAAAGCATTAGAAGCTTAGAAGAAAATCCCAGATGCAATACTTGAGCACTCCTTTAAGAAATGCTGCATCACTAAATCTCTTGGTGGTATAGAGGACAATATTGTGTGGAAAAACACAGTCATTGGACCCTGTGGCAAAAGTGATTCAGAAGAGTGGGTTTTAGATTTTTTGATGATGGCCATTCTGACTGGTGTGAGATGATATCTCATTGTAGTTTTGATCTGCATTTCTCTAATGATTAGTGATGTTGAGCATCCTTTCATGTGTTGTTGGCAATCTGTATGTCTTCTTTGGAGAAATGTCTATTTAGGTCTTCTGCCCATTTTAGGATTGGGTTGTTTGTTTTTTTGCTACTGAGCTGCATGAGCTGCTTGTAAATTTTGGAGATTAATCCTTTGTCAGTTGCTTCATTTGCAAATATTTTCTCCCACTCTGAAGGTTGTCTTTTAGTCTTGTTTATGGTTTCCTTTGCTGTGCAAAAGCTTTTAAGTGTGGAGAAAAGGGAACACTCTTGCACTGTTGGTGGGAATGTAAATTGATACAGCCAATATGGAGAACAGTATGGAGGTTCCTTAAAAAACTAAAAATAGAACTACCATACGAACCAGCAATCCCACTACTGGGCATATACCTGAGAAAACCATAATTCAAAAAGAATCATGTACCAAATGTTCATTGCAGTTCTATTTACAATAGCCAGGACATGGAAGCAACCTAAGTGTCCATCATTGGATGAATGGATAAAGAAGATGTGGCACATATATACAATGGAATATTACTCAGCCATAAAAAGAAATGAAATGGAGATATTTGTAGTGAGGTGGATGGACTTAGAGTCTGTCATACAGAGTGAAGTAAGTCAGAAAGAGAAAAATAAATACCATATGCTAACACATATATATAGAATCTAAGAAAAATAAAAAAAGTCATGAAGAACCTAGGGGCAAGACAGGAATAAAGACACAGACCTACTAGAGAGTGGACTTGAGGACACGGGGAGGGGGAAGGGTAAGCTGGGACAAAGCGAGAGAGAGGCCTGGACATATATACACTACTAAACGTAAAGTAGATAGCTAGTGGGAAGCAGCCGCATAGCACAGGGAGATCAGCTCGGTGCTTTGTGACTGCCTGGAGGGGTGGGATAGGGAGGGTGGGAGGGAGGGAGACGCAAGAGGGAAGAGATATGGGAACATATGTATATGTATAACTGATTCACTTTGTTATAAAGCAGAAACTAACACACCATTGTAAAGCAATTATACTCCAATAAAGATGTAAAAAAAAAGAGTGGGTTTTGAATGTGATATCTAAATCAAATTGGAGCAACTAACCAATTTGTTTCACTAATATTTTTACATTTTCATGAATATAATAAAACCCATGCCTAAGTAAATCTAATAGAGCTTTTTCAATAAGTACAAGATAAAAATTCTAAATCTTAGTATTGTATCACAGTTTAATTTGCAACCATTTTTTCTTTCCTATTATTATGTAAAATAGCATTGTCTCTTACAACCAGTGAATCTTAATCAATGAAGTATGGTAATGAAGTAGGAAGTCAATTAAATTATCAGTATGAATCAAAAGATGAGTTGGAAAGCTAAGACCTGAGGAATAAGTTTAGTAATTCTTTTGCTCAATAAATGTTTATTAAGTGTCTGCTGTGAGACCAGTGCTGGGATAGGCATGAGGATACAGCTGTGAACAAAGCAGATATGATCTCTGGGTGCACAGGGAAGACAAGATATATTGAATAAGTAGTTGCATGTACGATATTACAGAAGAAGACTTGCAGGCTTATTTGAAGTGTAAATAGAGGAGCTTAAGATGGTCAAGGGGAGCAGATGGCCTGAGTGAGGAAGTGACACTTAAGTGGAGAATGGAAGGACGAGTAGGAGTTAGCCAGGGGAAGAGGAGGGCAGTCCTGGCAGAGGGGATGGTGTGTGTGAAAGCTGGGATGTGCCAAGGAGTGAGGGGCTGAAGCAAGTCCAGTGTAGTAGGAGCCCAGACAGTGCTACGGGGATGAGAGACAAGGCTAGAGAAGTAGGTAGGCATCAGATCATGAAGGGCCTTATAAGTCGTGCCAAGGAGCTTGGCCTTTATCCTGTGGGTAAGAGGAAGCTGTGGAAGGGGTTTCAGGAGGGATGTGGTATGTCATGCTCAGATTTTAGAATTTCACTCTGGCTGCTGTGCAAAAATGGGGTGCTGTAGATCAAGGGCAGATGAAGGGAGCATGGCTGTAGTCACCTTCACTTGATTTGAGACATGGTAGCTGGGAGGGGTAGAAGATATCAAATGATGCAAGGGAATCCTGCAGCAAGCAATAGCCCCCATCACTGACTGCCTTCCTCAGATATTACATCCTTAATTCCTGATAACCTGAAGATAATAACTTTATTTTTGACAGAGTGACGACTTCTGGCTTGAGCCTGCAGTGTGCTTTGAGAGATCTTCCGCCAGGTAAGTGCAGAACAAATTTCCTCAGATTTATAAACCATGCTTTTCTCCCAAGACTTTCCTAAGACTCAAATCCAACATCTTATTTAATCCTTACAACAGCCCTATAAGTTAGGTGTATTTTATTGAGACACAGAGAGGTTAGGCAACTTGATCAACATGCACAAAGACGTTCATCACAGCATAAATTATACTTGCCAAATAAAACGAAACGAGGAGAGAATCTAAGTATCCAACAGTAGGCAAATTGTGTTAAATCAGTTATGGTACATCATTTGATGGAGGAACTTTAATAATAGTCTATATCAGATTAAGAAGTTTCTTTTCTATTCCTAGTTTGCTAAAAGCAAGTTAGTTGTCCTGGGTGTTGAATTTTATTGAATGCTTTTCTAATTTACTGAGCTGATGAAATGATTTTTATTCTTCATCTAATCATGGTAATTTATATTAATTGATATTCTAACATTAAATTACCTTGCATTTCTGAGACAAAATCAACTTGGTCATGATGCATTATCCTTTCTATATTTAGCTAAGATTTAGTTTTATCCTGAGATTGGATAAAATTTTTTTTTTTCTGGTGTTTTCCTTGCCAGGAATGTTTTTCAAAATATTGGAATTGCTTGCTACTTGAATGTATGGGGGAATATGAGAGTAAAACAGTTGAGACCTGTTGTTTTCTTTGAGGGAAGAATTTTTACCTGCTGATTTAATTTCTGATTTATTTAGGTTTTCTGATTTCTTCTTGAGTCAGTTTTGGCACATTTTGTTTTTGGTTATGTATACACATTTCTGTTGGATATGTATTGCAGCAAGGGAATTTCTGGATTATGGGGTAGGTGTGTGTTCAGCTTGAGAAGATACTATCAGTTTTTCAGAATGATTCTATTAATTTAAAAATTTACATGCTAACCAGGAGTGTGTGAGAGTTCTGATTTCTCTGTATCCTTTCCAATACAAGGTATTTTCTGTTTTGTTGTTTGTTTGATTTTTCATTTAGTCTCTACTGCTAAGTGTGAAGTAGTATCATAGTGTAGTTTTGATTTGTATTTCCCTGTAGACTAATGAAGTTGGATACTTTTTCATATGTTGATTGACCGTTTGAATATCTTGTTTTGTGAGAAGCCCTTTCAAGTCCCCCCCCCAAAAAAAAGTGAAGTGCTTATTCAGGTCTTCTGAAAAAAAATTGTGTTGCCTTATTGAATTGTAGACATTTTAATAATATGTATTCTGGATTTGAGGCCTTGGTAGGATATATATGTTGTAAATATCTACTTTTTTTTTTTCCTGTGGTTTACCTTTTTACTCTTTTTATGATCAGAAATTTCTTTAAAATAGTGTAAATTATCCATTTTTTTTTTCTTTGTGGTTGGTACTATTGTACCTATTTAAGAAATCTTGGCCTTATTCTAAGATCACAAAGAACTTTTATGTTTTCTTCTGAAAGCTATATTATTTTTCTTTTACATTTTGAGCCACGATCCGTCTGGAATTGGTTTTATTGTATATGATGTGAGGTAGAGGGTCAAGATTAATTTTTTCCATGTGGATACGCACTTGACCAGAAGCCATCCTTTTGTCATAGCACTATTTACCTATTTATTTATTTTGGTCAGGCTTACTGAGGTATAATGAACACACAGTAAAATTCATGCTCTCGAAATTTATGGTTTGATAAGCTTCACCAAAGTGTACCATCCTGAAACCGCCACCACAATCAGGATGCAGAATGTACCTAACACCTGAAAGAATGCTCCTTTGTAGTAACAATCACTGATCTGATTTCTGTCCCTAGATTTTTTTCTTTTTTCAGAATATATAAATGGGGTCATACAGTATGTAGCCTTTTGTTTTAGATTTCTTTAAAAAAAATCTCAAAGACTGTCAAAAATTCATCCATGTCATTGCTAGTACCAGTCATTTGTTCTTTTTTATTGCTGAGTAGAATTCCATTGTGTGGATGTACCACAATTTGTTTATCCATTAACCGATTGATGAACATTTGGGTTATTTACAGTTTTTGGCTCTTATGAATAAAGCTATTATAATTGCTCATTAATAGGTCTTTGTATGGATGTATGTTTTCATTTCTCTTGGGTAAATTACTAGGAGTAGGTTTATTGGGTCATATACTATATAGTATACTGGATTGTATACATTTAACATTATACAAAAAAAATCCCTCCAGCTGTTCCCAAAGTGACTGTGCCATTTTGCATTCCATTCGGCAATACATAAAATTTTATTGCCCCACAGTCTCTCCACCACTTGGTATAATCAGTCTCCATAATTTTAGTAATTTTGAGTTGGTTTGTAGTATTATCTTGTTGTAACTTTAATTCTCATTTCCCTAATGATTAATTATGTTGAACATCTTTTTATGTGCTTCTTTGCCATCTGCATATCTTCTTTAGTGGAGTGTCTGTTGAAATCAGTCACCCATTTTAAGAATTAAGTTATCTATCTTTATATTATTGAGCTATAATAGAATCTATTCCGGATACAAACCCTTTATCAAATGTGTGCTTTGCAAATACCTTTTCCCAGGCTGTGGCTTGTTTTTCATACTCTTAAAAGCATCATTCAAAGGGCAGAAATTTTTAATTTTCATGAAGTTCAATTTATCAATTTTTTCTTTGTTGGATAGCAGTTTTGTGTCCTAAGGAATCCTTGCTAAAAGCAAATATACAGAGATGTTCTTAATTTTTTTCTAGAAATTTTATAGTTAAAACTATAGTTAAACTATAGTTTAATATAGTTAAAACGTAAAAGTTTTGCATTTAGTTATATGACACATTTCGAGGTAGTTTTTGTATCTGGTGTGAGGTAAGGGTCATGGTTCAATTTTTTACATGAGTGTCCACATTTTCCAGCACCATATGTTGAAAAAGCTGTCCTTTCCCCCTTTTAAATACCTGCACACCTTTCTCTCTCCTCCTCCTCCTGGTACTCTAATTACATGCATGTTAGACTGTTTAATATCGTTCTACAGCTCTTGGACACTTTTTTTTTCTTTTTCTTTCTTTCTTTCTTTTTTTTTTTTTTTGTGTGGCTGCGCTGAGTCTTCATTGCTTCATTGCAGGGGCTATTCTTTGTTGCAGTGCATGGGCTTCTCACTGTGGTGGCTTCTCGTTGTGGAGCATGGGCTCTAGGCATGTGGGCTTCAGTAGTTGCAGCACATGGGCCCCAGAGTGCGTGGGCTTCAGTAGTTGCAGCGAGTGGGCTCAGTAGTTGCGGCTTGCGGGCTCTAGACCATGGGCTCAGAAGTTGTGGCACATGTGGCATCTCCCCAGACCAGGGATCGAAACTGTATCCCCTGCATTGGCAGGCAGATTCTTAACCACTGGATCACCAGAGAAGTCCACTTGGACACTTTTTAAAATTACCATTTCTCTTTGGGTAATTTCTATAGAAATGCTAAGTTCGTTGCTTCTTTTCTTTCACTGTGTCCTGTCTCATCAGCCAATCAAAGAATTCTTCACATCTGATATTGCATTTTATTTCTAGAATTCTTGTTTCTTTTCTGTAGTTTCCATGTCTCTGCTGAAATTCTCCATCTTTTCCTGGATTGTATCCTTCTTTTCCATGTGAGCCTTTTACATATTAATCATAGCCATTTTAAAGTCTCTGATCATTCCAATATCCGGGTCATCTCTCTGTCTAGTTCTGTTGGTGGCTTTATCTTGACAATAGGTTGTTTTTCCTTGGTTTTTTGAATGTCTCATAATTTTGATTGCATGTTGGATGTTGTTGGTAGAAGAGCAGTAGGTAATAAAGTTGATAATATTGCCACCCAGAAATGGGCACACTTCTTTTGCAAGGCTGCTAATGTAAGAATGGTTTGGTCCCTTGTTAGCAGTTAATAAGATTAGTAGTTAGTAGGGAGTTTGGGTGGGGTTGGCCTCCTGGTTGCTATGGTTCTCTTCAGCCAAGCAGACTGCAGAGTTTTCCAGTGGTGGACTGAAGTTACCTCATGCTTAGTGTGTGGCCTGGTGTGCCAGAGGGTTTTTCTCACCGTCCAGACTCCATCCTCAGCTTTCCACTGAGGGGATCGCTCTCCATGTTGATGCTCCTCTCCTAGCTGTGAATGGCTTTTGCTCATTGCTCAGTGCAAAGCTGTGGCTATGTTAGGGGGTTCCCAGTTCTTCTGGTCCAGCTCCAATCTTGGGCAGGCCTTGGGACTGCAGCTTTGTCCATGTTCCTGTTCCTCTTCGTGGCATTCCACTTCTGCCTTGTATCTGTAGGTGGCTTGGGTGGGAGAGAGTTCCCTGCCCCTCCCTCAGTGGTAGCAGACCTCTTCTTTGTGTCAGTGCAGGATTCTGGGCCTGAGAGTCCCTTGTTCTTCCATCAGGGCAGGACCAGCAGCATCAGTATCACCTGAGAGCTTGTCAGAAGTGCAGAATCGCAGGTCCCATGCTCAGACCTGATGAATCAGAGTCTGCATTTTGACAAGATCCCTGAGGGATTCTTGTGCACTTTGAGAAGTAGTGCTTTACCGCAGTGGTCCCCAACATTTTTGGCACCAGGGACCGGTTTCGAGGAAGATGATTTTTCCACGGATGGGGGTGGGGTGGGGTGGGGGGAGGTTCAGGTGGTAATGTGAGCAGTGGGGAGCGATGGGGAGCGGCAGATGAAGCTTTGCCCACTGGCCCGCTGCTCACCTCCTGCTGTGCGGCCTGGTTCCTAACAGGCCATGGACTGGTACTGGTCCGCGGCCTGGGGGTTGGGGACCCCTATTTTACCCAATCACTGTTTTCTTTTTTTTTTTTTTGCTAACTGTGCTTTTAATAATGAGATTAAAATCCTTCAAACTCAAAATATTGTGAAGGTAACCCTACTTTAAGAATAAACTGGGTTGTAGTGCACACATATTTAAACTAAGGCATTTAAATGTTTTTTTCTAGTTAAATTATTGAATTTAATTGAACAATTATCATTGATATGCATAGTTAAAGCTTCTTAGTTTCAAATTCTTCTTTGAGCTTTGTGTTCCTAGCACCCAA